TTTTGATTCAACTATGAATTTCCATAAACGGCGTTACATATATGCAACTTAACACTCAAGACAAACTACGGTGAATTTTATGATCATTAAGTGTTTTGTAGTCATAAAAAATACCGTTGTATATATGCTACGCACAATGGTTAGAATATGAAATAAGTTGGCCTTCATTAATAATACCTTTTAAAGTTTAGTCTATAATATCACACAATACAACGTTTTTACCTATTTTTGGGTCACTGAATCCAAATTTTTCACCAGTTTTGAATGTTAGGAGAAGTAGAAGGTTTTTTTTTTTAATTTTCATAATAATTTCATGTTATAATATAATATAAATTGATATAATATATCAATTTATATGTTTTTAGGTTATATCAGATGGAAGAAGGAGGTGATGTTACTCAACACATTATAATCTATATTATTCTTATCTTATTAATATATTATAATACATCAATAATAAATGTTTTTAAGTTTTATTATAGGTTCAACCCTTTTATTTTTGTTACTTTTGAGCATACACTAAATACTTTAGTATAGCCTCCAACATTATACATAAAAGTTTTAGTAAAAAGATTATGTTTTGAGCTACTGATCTTCGTTTTCAATAAATTTACTCTAATTTCTCTAATGATTATTTTATTCAATGTTATAAAACAGTTTAACAGTTTAATTTTTATTTTATTTATTTTATTTATTTTAACACCAGTAAGATGAGCAAACACCACCGAGTTTTAACTAAAAAAATTGTCTAATCTAATTGAAATAAGTAACGAAGAAAATATCTAAATTAAGTCCAACAATATCACAATATTTGATACAAAATCCTTAACAGTTCATTCGCTGTAAAATTTCAATTTTCATCATTTAATAAAGAATTAAAATTTAAGTGTTAGTTTATTATAGATATTCTTTACATTAATATTAAAATGAATTTTCCAGAAAAACAAATATTTATTGACATTATGAGTTTGACATCAAAGTATAAATTAATACAAACTTTAAAACTTGAAAAACTTATAAATAATCATTCACTGGTGACATTTCCTTGAATATCTAACTTTTTATAAATAAAATCAAATAAATATTGTCTGTGTTGGATGGTTGTGAGAGTTAATGGACCTTTACCTCTTAAATACTCCAATAAATTGCCGTAATTGAAATTTTTATCACATTCGCTACTTGTTCTTAGAAATAAATTACTGTTAGGCGAAGACGCACAAAGACGTAATTATTTTATTTATTAGGTACTATAATATGCATATGCTGGTAAAAAGAAAAATTACCAAGTTATATTCTTTTATGCATATAAATATAAAAATGATTAATTTTTAACAATCAAAATTGAATAAATCTCAAAATTACAACAACAAACTTAATACAATACACTTATCTTTATCTAATGTCGATAGTGTATTTAATAATTAAACAAAAATTAATCAACAACTTGTACACTTATTGTTGACCGATACAATAATAATAAGTGATAATTACATAGCATCAGTTTTATACATTTTAAGGCTTATCTAGGAATTGAACGTGTTTTATGACATCTATTATTATCATTAACATCATATTCTCTGTCATAAACATATAGTCAATAATATTCTAACAATTTTCGTTATATGTGAAATAATTTTCAAATTTGATATAGGCGACATAATCCGACCAATGTGTAACGTGCTGAATGTTATAACATTCTTATTACGCTGAACGCGATAGGTCTTATTAATTTCGCTATTTAAGCTATTTAAATCTGAGTTGGTTAGTTGTTATTTTTCTCGCCATCTTAACCAGATTAAAATAAAAAAATTGAAAAATAAAACACTTTGTTCACAATTATTACATGAACACTCTGTCGTCGGGATGTCTTTATGTATATTTTACTCATCCAAGTTTGTACATAATATATGATATTATTTTTTATTGCTGGTCCTCATAAATATGTATACTTATATTTAAGGGGTTTTCTCCCCCTCGGCCGCTGTCTTATCTTTTTAGCCGTTCCGCGGCAACGACTCAGTTGTCTCTGGCCATTACTCTTCGTCGCCACGCCAACTTGAACATACACTCTCGTGCCTTACCATATCATTATAATATGTGACTGAACCATACTTTCTTGTCCCCCAAGGAATGTTTACATAGATGGAAAATAATATAACCCTCATACGAGCCGGTTTCCGTGGTAGCCTTCATGTTTTCGGCTTTACGTGACTTTATTTTACGGTTGTTTTATAAGTACAAGCAACCTCTTTCTGCTGTTTTTTTACATCTTTACTCATAAGCTTTATTTTTTTGCATAAGATGTATGCTTTTTCCACGCGTCCGCACTGTTTATGAATATAACATAACGAATCGTGGTAAATTTCATTTATTTTTTCAAGCCAAAACCGTAAAATTGTCATAAAGGAGTAAAAAATGTGCAAGGGACACGTAGCAAAATGGATACGCAAAATAAAACGAGACAGCTAGTTTTATCAATAAGTAGAGTACTGAATAATATTAAAATGTTTTTGAAACATTTCGACGAGTGTAAAAATGTATCATCTAAAACAAAAAGTTCTGGATTGAGCAATTAATTTAACGGAATTTATCATTTTGTTGTCATTTAGCGAGTCAAATCATAATATCTTTCTAGTTGAAAAGATTTGGTTTTTTTTTTAATTTTTAATTTTAGGAACTATACAACTCTTTACTATTCATAAGCATAAAGATGTTTTTTTTGCAAACAAATATTATGTTTAATTATGTAGTTTAATAAATTTTATTCTTATAGTTTAAAATGGTGACATGCTTCATTGGACGTCCTGTTTTTCCTCAAGCTTTATTTTTAATTAAAAAATTATTTGTATTAAATTAGTGTTCTTTAAAGACATCAATATAGCACAACTAAACATTGTTGAATCTTTGTAAACATATTTTATAACTCCTCATAATATGATGAATTACATACTACACTAGAGTAAGTTTTATTATATATTATATATTTGTAAATAAATAATGACGGTATACATTTCTATTATATTAAATTATTCTAACTTTTGCCGTACGCTTACTTTTAGTAATAGGTATGAACGGATGAACAACATTTTGTATTATAATTTTATGATTTCTTTTCTCAAAATTCTCATTAGACGTATCGAATCGTACTTGTGCACATTGTTTTCAATGACAAAGCAATAACTTCTTCTCCAAAAGGGTGTCGGAGAAAATCGAGGGATGAGATATATCTTTATTGTATTATTATTATCAAATAAACTTGCAGGAGTATGTGCGGTAACGAAAAAAATAATAATCATAATAATGCCACGGCACGTGCCACACATGGTGTATGATGTTTGGACTGTATTCTGAACGTTACACTACAATGGATGCTGTGAATATATCTGACTTGCCATTTCGCACCACAAAATTTCAATAAGTTAATGGTGTTTTGCATTGTGCCACTGGGCTCATAAACATAGTAGTAATAATAGTAATAGTAATAATATGTCATATGCATTATGAATTGGAGAGGAGTTAGTACTGGCACTGATTCGGTGTGATTGCACATTAGGGAATAATTTTTCATTGTTAATCATTTTCATTACATAATCAAAATAATAAATATTAACGTTTATTGGTTTTTGTCGTTAAACAATAATTTAAGTAATAGAAAGATTCAACATTTTTTATTTTTTATTTATCTACTAAAATGTTTCATTATAATAAAAGTTGTTCATCATAATAATATATTACATCGTTAACAATGTTAACTTTAAAAGTAGTGATTTTATTTTTCATTTTTATTGGTTTCCTCCGATTGAGGAGAAATAACCTGTAAGGAAGATATCGTGAGGGGTATGTATATTTTTTTGTCTTTATATGACAATTCGCTTCTATGAGTTGAGACCTAAAATAATATTAATAATGATTATTATTACCAAAAGAACGTAAAACTTCGACATATATACGATGAATGAGATTTATTTATAACCAACTTTTAAAATACTCTTAAACTAGTTATAGGTTAACGTTAATTATTTATTGTGATTAATTGCATACGCTAAACGGCTCTAATTGTTTCCCCTGGATTCATTTTATTATTCATCATTAATTTCATTTAACGATAGCCTGCGTATGGTTGTGATACTCGGGTAAGGACCGGATGAAAGCGGTATGGACTATGAAAGAACAACGGTGATTCTATGCCGTGCAAATATGGGGGGGGGTCATCTATCAAGTTGGTATATTAAGACAACCGTTCGCCACGAGCTATTATACAGCATATAGCGCATTGCATCGTATCCCTATAGTCTCAAAGTGATTAACTGTTTGAAATCAGTCCCGAAATTAAATCTAACCCTCTGCACATATTACTGCCGCACATACTTTCGCGTTAATAAATATTGTCTCCCGCTTGTAGAATTTGGTGGCGAGAGTTGCCCTACCGCTCGTTAGATCTAGTGCAGTAGTGGGTTGTTTGGAATTTTAATCAGTCATAATACGTGTTTATGACTTTCTGCGAGTCCAGCTGAAGTTTTTAGCGGTCTATCTAAAATAAATATTAAATCAAAATCTAATATTGGAATTTTTCTCAAATTATCAATTAATCAATTAAACTTTGTTACTCAACTGTAGTATTTTATGTATTATCATTTAACGTTTTTATAAGAGTCAGTTCAGTTAAATAAGTAATTTAATTACGTTTGAAAAAAATGTTGTATTAAAATTAATTACATGTAATATATTTTGACAGTAAAAATAATTTTAAAAAAATTATTCATTTTTTCAAAATTAAACAAACTGATGGACATGAAGTATAACTTATTAAATTGCTGGCCTTATGTTATACATATTAACACGAATGATAAATGAAATTTCAATAAACATAATAAATGTATTAGAATACTAAAATATAGAAAAACATGAGATAATTTCTCAAAAAGTTACGATATTGATTATAAGAATTAAGTTTACTGAGTTTTAAACATATCATAGATCATTCATATAAAAATTTATAAATGGACGACGAAAATCAAAATGAGAACTTTTGTAATGGTAGTCTAAACACTTTGATTTCATGGCAAAAACATTTAAAAGTACGACAGATGTGCCAAAAATTTGTAATGAACAATAAAAAGTTAACAGTATTTATGAACGTTTTATCAAACCTCATCGACTTAGGTTTGAAAAAGGAAACTCATGATACATCTACAATTAGGTGCTTCCAAACTTACGCTCAAGATATACCAACCGGCAATGAACAAGGGAGGTACATTGCACTAGATTTGGGAGGCTCAAATTTTCGCGTACTCAACATAGAATTGGACGTAGGACGTCAATTCCGTATGGATCAAGAAACATTTTCTTGTTCTAAACAATTAATGGCCGGCAGTGGAGAAGAATTATTTGACTATATTGCTCAATGTTTAAAAGATTTTTTAACTAAACGTAAATTGGAATCAGAAATCAATTTGCCATTAGGGTTCACATTCAGTTTTCCAATTTATCAGTCTAGACTTGATTCGGCTATATTGACAAATTGGACAAAAGGGTTTACATGCGACGGAGTGGTTGGAAATGATGTGGTAAAACTATTAAACAGATCGATAGCAAAACATTCAGGACTCAACATTAAAGTTTGTGTAATTCTCAATGATACTGTTGGAACACTAATGTCCTGTGCATGGAAAGATCCTAACACTAAAATTGGGTTAATAATAGGCACCGGGACAAATTGCTGTTACCTAGAAAAAGTAATTAATGGCTGAGTTTTTCTTTACTTGGACATACTTTTACTAGTCTACTGAAATTTTTATGATATTTAGATAGATAGAATTGAAATGTTCGATGGTGACAGTTCGAAAGAAGAAATGGTCATCAATCTCGAATGGGGTGCTTTCGGAGACAAAGGTGAACTCGACGATATCATCACAAAATACGACAAAACCGTGAACAGAAATTCGGTCAATCCAAATCAACAGACTTTTGAGAAAATGGTTTCCGGTATGTACCTGGGAGAATTATTCAGATTGCTTCTATTGGATATGGCAAAAAACAACTTAATTTTTGATGGTCACGTACCTGAAATTCTCCTAGTGCCCCAATCAATTACTACTAATGTAATTTCCACTGTTGAAAGTGACGTACCCGAAACATATACACTTTCCAGGCAATGTTTACAAAAACTTGGAATTGAAAATGTGACTGAGAGTGATCTACTGAATATTCGATATGCCGCACACTGTATATCAAGACGATCGGCTGAATTAGTTGCCGCTGGTTTAGCTGTACTCTTGGAAAGAATGAACGAGGAAAATATCACTATCGGAGTAGATGGTTCGGTTTATCGTTTGCACCCTTATTATCATCAAATATTGGTAAACAAAGTTAATGAATTAGTCAAAGGTAAATCCATTAAGATTATGTTATCCGAAGATGGTAGCGGACGAGGTGCTGCAGTCTTAGCAGCGGCTGTATGTAAAAAGTCCAAAATAAATAATAGTAAAATTAGAAATGATAAAATATAATTTTATCTCTTTAAGATTATTATTATGAATAGCTTAATCAAGTGCACTGCATATATTTTGTAGTGATACTAAATTTAGAATTATAAAATTTTAATTTATGGTACGTGCTTTTTAAAGCACTAAAATCATATTCCAAGGAAAATATAGTGAAAAATGTTTTAATGATACTCAACATTTTATTCATAATACTCGGTAGCAGGACATTTATACCATTTTATTAAGTACGAAGAAATAACTTAATATACTAAGAGTAATTTAGTTTTAATATTTCAGCGATTTTCGGATTCAATGTCGTAACTCGGTAATGCTGGCGCGGCCATGAAATCCGTTGGGTCTTAGGACCACCGAATATTTGTCTGGTTTTATTGATGAATAAATTAACATACATTAAAATTTACTTGGGTACGACTCGGCTGAGGCGACCCATAGTTACATCGCCATGCCTATCCTACTACGTATCTCTAGTATAATTTTCATCTGAAATCTACATGCGCACTCGATTACTGCAATTCCAAGCGCTTCCGAGTAACGAGATTGGGTAAAATCACTTTACGAATTCCTCGGAAAGCGTACAATCATAAGCATCTTCTTTAATTATATTTTTTAAGTACATTACATAACAAACTTGAATCTATTCTCAGTGACAGTCAAATGGGTATTAGGGTCATGCAATTGATATATCAATTGTGGTATTTTTGTAAAATTTTGATTATATGTATTTTATTTTTTGAAAAATTTATGTATGATAATTTAATTACAAAGTTATTGATTATAATTAAAGTAAAAAAACATTAATTCCAAAAGTTTAGTAAATTAAATCTTGAGTCTTAGTTATTATTTATACGTAGGTACATTCAACAGGGTACTATTCTAATATAAATTAAATATATGACATAGGCTAATAAGAAAAGAAGCCATTTTGCACACTTAATAGTCGATTATAAGATCTTGATACAGTAATACAAATAAAAATTCTCTGAAGTATGGGGTGCATCTCTTATGATAATTTTTATCGTAAAGGTTTGTCATCTTTTCCCGTGGCAAAATCATTTGATCGCCACTGCTACACTTACAATTGATTTATCTTTACTAATTAGTACTTGAAATTTAAATTACTTTGAAGATATTTGATATTATCCTTTAAATTTCAATCGTTTAAGGTATTTATTTTACACAATAGAAAGTTTATAAAAATATTAAAGCTATTAACTTATCGGTTTAAATTGATTTTGGCAGAAAAATAGAATCACTCTGGGGTTATGATGGGTTGGCTCATAAATCATTTTATTCGTTTATGATTATGCCCTCAAATGGGCGAGAAGAACGTAAGGAAATATGAACGAGTATTATAATGACAGTAAATGGCTGTCAGCGGAGAAGCATAATCAAATAGTTTTTGGACGGTGAATGATATAATATTTTTATTCAAATTGAACTCTGCCGGTACGGTGGTAGAGGAGAAGCGGCCTCCATAATATCTTTTTGCCGTATGTACCTATAAATATATACACAGTGCAGCGATGATCGGATCAAAATGTAATCTTGCTGAACGCCCGACGATTCCCAGGACGACAATTTATCTATATCCGACGGCCGCGCAACCGTTTTAGACATTTGCCAATTTCACTACCGGTAGGCATAAAAAAATGCATCCAAAAATTCATCGTATATTATTATACTAAGATACATAGAGTATACATATATGTGTAATAAAATAAAACTGAGCAAAATCCATCCAGTGACATCCATTCATGTTTTTTATTAAACATAACAGAAACAAAAAAATGAAAACTCTGATATGAATCATACTGTTCTTAGATTAAATAAAATAATTTTCTATGTTATCCAAATAATTTGTAGGCAATCAAAGTCCAAGAATGGACTGATCTTTTAAATGAAAACTTTTCAAATTATAATTTTTATGTGAAAAAAACAATCAATATAACAACAAGAATAAAAAAATAATGACAAAAATGAAATAAATCCTGAAAAGCTTAGTTCAAAGAGACGTGGTCATTTATAAATCCTGGACACGAGGCAGCTACTGCGTAGAGTTTTCAAAACCAACAAATATGAAATTGAATTTACCACACACATCGCATACAAGCACAAGGTTTTTTGAAAAGATTCAACAATGTTTATATATATATATATATATAAGTAAACTTCTAAAGCTGGTCAATATTATCGCTGAGCAAGACCTCATTATTGCAAGGATTTTGTTTCGGCCCCGTGTCGATTTCTCTGGGGAACTCGCGGGCTTCCATGTCAATTGTTTCACACGCTAACACTATTGCCAACATCCCTTCACACTCACTCAGTCTCCACCCAATATTTTACGCTCATATTATCCCAACCTTGGTTTCCTCGTGTTTACAATTTCATGTCTGGACTCTACAGCAAATCTCATTTACGGCAAAAAGACTTGTCAAAATTATTTCCAGAGGTTGCAGTATTCGTATTAAATTTATTAACGTTTCACTACGTGATCGTTTTAACCACTACTTTTATATTGATATGTTTTTATTTCAATTACTATTTCAAGCAAATACTCAAAAAAATCATCAACTTATAGTAAGCATTTAATATTTTCTGAACATTTGATTTAACCTAATGTCTAATTTTGTTTTTGTTTTTAAATTCATTATCTTGATAACAATTATTGATACGATTTGAAAAAAATTAATGTTTAAACAAGGTACAATACATATATTTTAATTATCTTATACGTAAAAAAAAACAATTAACATTAAATACTACTTCAATTTGCAATTTTAATATATCTCTGTCAGTTAAAAGGTCTATACTAACAGAAAAGTGATAAAATGCAGAGAATACACTTGGACACTTGCTTTAAACTATTCATTTTAAAATAGATGATCGGAAAGCTACTTTTCTTTTGCCTAATTGAATTTTCTAGTACGTGCGACTTTTTTACTAAGGGATGTTTATTTTGCATTTTGTTCGTACAAAAATTCGAATTGGCTCGTATGTATTCCAGGGGAGTTTGATAGTGTACAAAAAGAGGAAAGACTCCGAAAAGTTAGACGTGCCTTTTAACGGGACAAATGTAAATTTCTTGTAAAAATGCACTTGCCGATAAGGTGATCTTGAAGTGTTAGAAGAGTATGGCAGGAAACGTATCTAAATTACCATAATTAAATTATTATTTGAGAAAAGTAGCTACACTGCGAAATGTTGGTTTAAAAATTTGCATACTTACCAATGCAGAAACATTTAGTAGGATAATGTAACGACATAATATATCATTACATTATTTGATTGCTCGTGTTATGTGGATTGTTATGTAAATATAAATTGCTCATGACATGACATAGTAATGATAATTGAACAAAAATGAAATAATGATACTTAAAAAACAATACGCTTTTTATTTATTTATCTCCATTATTATGATATACTGAAAAACTCTCTTCTATAATAATGAATTTATTTCAATTAGCCAATTTATTTGCATATTATTGGGAAGACGCATACGAATACAAAAGATTCTTGAAGCCATAAAAGTAAAATTGAAAAATAAGGAATAATTCTTGTGAAATTTCTTATTTAATTATAGAAATCGAAAATATATAATTTAAAAATAAGTTACTACAAATAACAATAATAAAATTAATTTATACACCATACTACTTTATAGGAAAATATCTAAAAATAAACATTATTAAGAGTTAATAAAATAATATACAGGACGATATTTTTATAATTTATCAATTTATTCGAATAATAACAACATTGGAAAAATTTTTATTGGTTATTTTTAATTTCATACTATTCACAATATATCAATTTGGAAGTATTTTTTATATTTTATAAGGATAAACACTTTATTTTTTTAATGAAAATATACATAATTAACTAGTTTACTTATTAAATAGTAATCTAATTAGAAAATTAGTGATGAATAATCACGATGAACCAGTATTTCTGAAGTTATTAACACTTTTATACTTAGGAAGTGCTGTGAAGAAAAATAAAGTAATAAAAAATAATAACAGCCATGCCACATCTTCAGCCTTTAAAATTGTTAATACAATACGTAATAACTCAATAACTTACTTTGATTTATTAATTATTAACTGATTTATTATTAAGCATGTGTCATAAGAATTAAGTTATTTGCTCATCTTTTCTTTTTATAAAGTGATACAAATATTTTATGAAGCGAGCTGGACCAACATGCCTATTGTAAACCCTTAGCCATTGGCCTCCCAGTCCGTCCCTGGAGTTTGTCTTAAATTGTTAATAACTTCATCTAAACTACTGATCCAAAAATTATTATGAGTTAGACATATTCTTAATACTTATTTCCTATTTTATAAATTAGTTGCCATTTAACAAAAAAGTTATCACACCTTTAAACTATTAGGGATGATTCTAAAAAGTAATTATTAGCTGATAAACCAAGAATTTATATGTAACTAAATGAAATTAAAAGTTGTTTTTCCAAAATTGTATTTATTTAACTAGTAATCGAGTGGTTTGTTATAAAACGATCACTCTGTATTTTATTAGTGTAATTATATCTTTTTCTAATAAATAAGTTAATTATAATGTACTTTGCCATTTAAAAAAATAAAGTTGACAATCTTATAAGGTATAAAAAATACTTGAATAAAAAATAATGAATACTAAAATTACATGATTAATAAATATAGAAATCATGTATCTAAATGAAACTAAAAAAAATAATCAATATTATTTTTATTTCATCGAAAACTTTGTTTCTTCTGATGACCTCGTATTGGAGAAAACAATTTTTTATAATAGTTTTCTAAAATGGTCCATGTGTTTTCTTACTACGACAACAGAAAATTAAAAAAAAAAGAATTTGTATTTTTAAGTATTTACAGCCAATAAAATTGTTAGATATATTGTATGTCATAGAGTCATAACAGTCGAATATGACCATGGTCATTTCTAAGTACAATAGACTTTTGTATTTTAATTTTAATAATTCAAAATAAATAATATTTCAATACATATTTTTATACAATAAAATAATACGAAAGCTTAACAATAAAAGTCGAGTTGCTTTTATAAAACTCACCTGTAGGCGGATGTTATATGTAACGGAGCGCTTGATTTATAAATACAATTGTCGCCATCCATCCATTGAAGGTATGGAACAAGGTGTGTATTACTATTGTTCTGTATGGTCACCCATCCAGGAACATCTGAACACAACGTTAAGACAAAAACTAAGTGGTCCACTACACCACACATGCATCTGGTGCATTAAGTATAACATGAAATATGATTTTCCATTTAAAAACCATGTGTAGATATTTTTATACCCATATATTTACATACTTATATATTGACATTAGTACATCATGACTTTTTGAATGCTATTCATAAATTAATTAAATCACTTTTCAATCTGAAGAAAACTTCCTAGCTTAGTCGATAACGCGTCGTGCCTTGTTGTGTAGGTTCGATTGCATTGCGCTGGGATATTATGTTTGTCTCGTTCTCTCAGGTACAAAAAATAGTTATAATAGTATAATAAGTATAATTGTTTTTAGAGAAGACGTTAAACATAAATAAAGAATAAGAATTAACGAATTATTAAAAAAAAATTAAAAACCAATATATGCATACAAAAATATTCCTGTTCATTTGAAATGTAATAGGAAACAACTAGCACAGGATTTTATATCGCTATTTCTAGAAAAATTTCGAATGAAATAACTGTTGAAATCACTTTTGAGTATCAATTAAACGACATTTTTTATAGGGACAGAAATAAAAACACCATAAATAACAAAAAGAAATGAGTTGAATTCATTTATTTTTTTTTTAACTAACAATTATTATTTTACCTCAAAATTGATCAATAAATATATAACTATAATGCAAAATAAAAATTATTTTCGATTTACCTTCATACAACCTTTTACAATAGCTAAATAATAATAATAATAATAATATTACAATAATGACAGTCATGAATAATAATATAGGTAACTATTATGTGTAGAAAATAGGTAGGTACATAAATAAATAATGAAAAAACAAAAATAGGAAAACAAAAACATGAGAACTTTAAAATACGTTTCGTTCATACATTTATACGTTATATTTATACAAAGATAAATATCTAATAACATCATTATTTACACAAAACTATGTAAAAAAAAAAAAATTATAATAATGCTTTTTTTATATATATGCATGTAAAATTATATAATGAGTGTAATCTTCACTTGATATTATCTTAAGGTTGATAGAATGAATTTCGTTTGTTTATACTTAGTATTTTATTCTCAAAAAATTAACAACTCTAAGTTAACACATATTTTTAACTCTTTGGGATTTTGTACATGTTCAAAGAGTTGAAGATATTATTCTAATTCAACAATGTCAACAGCCCCATAACTATATGAACTCATATTGTATTCTTCGGAAATAAAAAAATGGAGTATCCAATAATACATAACAAATATAAAAACGTTTCCACTGCAGTTAAAAAAAAATTTACAAAGATTTATAAATAAATTAAATAGGTTATAGTATTAGTATATAAATACCATCCAGTCGAGTATGCTAATAGATATATTACAATAAAAATGAATGATTTATTATTTTACCGCTATGACTTATGTACAATATCATATTATAAATAAATAAAATTGTTCTAACTGGAAATTGCTTCCGTTTACGTTATGCTCGCTGGTCGGAAGTCGGTATGTTGAGTTTCTTTATGCCGACGCAGATCTACTTTACGTTGAAAAGCTCTGCCGCATAGATCACAAGCGAACGGTTTATATCCAGTGTGTTTACGACTGTGTGTTATTAGATTTGACGACTGGCTGAAAGCTTTACCGCAAACCTGACACTTGTGTGGTTTTTCACCTAAAAACAAAAAAATGAACACTTCAGGTTGGAGAGAAAACAGTTAAAATAATTTAAATATTACACACTTGAAATAAACTTCATTTGTAAATTCAACTAAATAATGTGCAAATTTATAACGACTTTGAACTCGATGTATTGAAAGTTTCAAGTAATTTAATTAAAATCTTTCTGCGTTGAAATTAACAACACTAAAGCACAATTAATGCTTGTTTGAAATATATATATATAGAGAGAGGCAAGAAATTAGCTACGAATTGTATTATTCGCATATTAATTTTGACTCTACAGAATTTCATATAACATATATGTATATAACATAATTTGTAGTATAACCCGACAATAATACATTTTTGAATAATTAATTTGATAAATATGTTTAGATCGTACTGACTGCGTAAATATTAAAACATTTTCATGCGAATTATTCGAGTATTTAAATAGAAATATCAGTTAAAATAAATATACTATCGTCAATTTAAATAAGTAGATATGTTAATGATAAAAATATATATAAACATACACATGTATATTCGTGTAGTATTTATGAAAATATATAAAAACAGTATACATGTATATGCGACATCTCATACAGGTCAAAACATAGACCGTAAGTTTTTATTGGTGATATAACAATTAAACATGATAATAAACTTTAAGCGCGACAGTAAATAGTTTCTTGTGAGTTATAGATGGTAACATTAATATTAAATGTAATGTATTCGGCCATCGCACTACAACGTCGTGCAATCGATAAGCTGCTGTGGTTTTGACGTTCAGTGCGACCCGCCTTTGATATATGTGCCTACGCGTAGTGACGGACTCGGAGACCAAGCGCACACGAGTCCCGGGGATTTTCGGGCGAACGGCGTGATTGAAGGGTGTGATGGTGTGCCCTTAATGAAGTCGTGCTTTATAAAATCGCACGTACTCATACAGTTTGCTAAAATTTGCGACGACCGTGGTGGCGGTTACTATGGTTACCATTACACATCAACCTCGCTCTGCATGCGCTCATAGCTAGTCGGGGCCCACGCGAGGACAAAAGAGATACAGAAACAGAGAAAGAAAACCGCCAAAATGGGCGGAGCCCGTGCACGGCCAATCACTGCAGCAAACCGAGGTTTCTATTATTACGGGCAGCGGCACTACTCCTATACACGGACCTGTACTCTTCCGTTCTGAGCCATCACTTGGTCCAACGTGTGCTCTCCTGTACACCACCAGTCATAGCCGTAACATTATATCATCGTACATATAATTGATATGATTTCCAAGACTAGTAAAATAATTACTATAAAAATGAAAGTTTATGTCGAGTAAAACAAATGATAAATACAGAAATATATTTTTATTGATCTGACGTTCATTTTTAATTATTATATAATTTCATTTGAAACACCAATATTTAATTTTCCTACTAGAAATGGACGTTTTGATATGTCGAACTTTTAAGTTAAAAATGTTTATTGATATAAATAACGAGCTTTAGTACTGCTATTTCTAGGTAACCAATCAATTAACTTAAACCACCGAAATAAAATTTCAGTGCGCAATCTCATTACGGCATCGTCATACTTTTATTTACACAGTAAGTTTGCACTTCTTATTTAAAATTCAGAAACTCTTTTAAAGTCACCCAGGAGCTATTACATAAAAGACGCTATGTGTACCACTAACTATACATTAAAATGGTAGTTTAACAAGTGAATTAAAGTAACTGAAGAATATGCACCGGAAACTTTTAACGGTGATGCTGCTAGAAGTTTAAAAACGCAATGAAACCAAAAACTAAAGTTTGTGGTTTCGTAACGACTATAATCAGAATGTATATGCATGCGGATAAGTATAGTCTCTTGGAAAATTTTTTTTAATATTTCATCCAGCACTCGTGGAAGAAAACAATCTGAAATCTTTTGTATATAATATCGAGAATGTTTCAACATAATTCACGCCGTGAGGGTAGACCATTCTCTTTTGAAAAAATAATAATAATGCCCAAAAAAAAGAAAACCAATCATCAGAGTGATGGTAGACGTGGATGCTGTAGTTCGGTCCGTGGTGGTGTTATGTATGTATAGGAAGGCTGAAGCTGCGTGACTTTTCGTTTTGAATCTTAAAACCGTACAGCTACTTTGAAATGCGGGTAAAGGTGTCCCGCGGGACTTTTGGAGGTTTGAACATGGGGCGTACTGGGAAAAAAAGTATAATATTATGTAAGTGTACGGGGTAAAAATAAAAATAACCGAAAACGATTGTTCATCTAACTCATCTTTGTCGTCTATTTATTTTAATTTACTAGGCAATTATAAATATTATTTTTGTATTCATTTAACTGGCCAAAATAATATAAATTTATACATGGCAGTAGCAATTTAAAAGGTTTCGTTGTAATTCAGTAAAATCTTTCAACAACTGTCTTTATTTAGTCTATCAAATTTTCACTGCTTTTGACACGAGGACACTAGTATCGGATTTTACTTGTTTTGACAGCGTATGTTACGTTTAGTTGCCTTAATAGGAGGTGGGGTAACCTTGAGGGAAGAGAAATGGAGTTCAGATGCTTAAGAAAAAGCTAATAGTTGGGGTGTGAAGAAAAAATGATTGCCCATAGACGTGGATAGAATAAATAGAGAAACGTTGTAGATATATATAGGCTATAGATTGAATATCGGACAAAGTAAAATAAAACTCGAATCATTTATGACGAATTGAAAGGGATTCTGTGAACGAATAAAAGAGAATATTGTATGGCGGAAGCTTTTTTTTGATTGATTCATTCCAAGATTTCTATCATACATAAGGAACATGTTCACGAATTTCTCTCTTGTCTCTGAGTATAGTTTACTTCACATAAACGCTGTATGCGTACAATGGCACAGAAAGTACGAAAAGGGGAGAGAGAAAATAAGAACTGAAAGATCCTTACAGTGTAATAAAGTCCTGCGATTTTTAAATGTGTTCATCATCTTATCAAATTCTGTACGTGTTCAGCATTCCGAACCCGGTAAATATTGCTTCTAAAGCAATGTTCTTATATTTTATTTACCGTAACGGGTAATGTCGATACATATTTTTCTATCTTCCCTAAAAGATTCCGTTGGTTAAGATATACTCGATAACGAGCATCTCCCTTATTCTACTGTTTTCTCCCTTGGCAATCGATTGCGATTTTTCACCTTATCTAAACTAATAGGAATGTCACCGCAAATCGTTTTTCCCTCATCGTTTTACACTTTCCTGCTCAACTACCTTATAAACTATGTACATAAATACAAATTGACGTCGATTAAATCCGAGAGTTTCGAATACCTTTCGGTCGTACACTATTAGAACGTACAATTTACTCTTCGAGTAATAATCATAAACAAGTATATGAATTTTTCAGCCGTATTATAAATGGATTCAATGACCAGATCTCTTTAGAAACTTCAAATTGTTTTTAATTTAAAATAATCCACTGTTAGGAATTAATTGCCATGATTACAGTATATTAGTTGACAGTAGAAACTATTTACGCGATAATATGCAAAGTGTAACGCAGTCGCTGAATACGATTGCAAAGATTATCCTGATCACAAAAAAAAAAAATCCCCTTAAAAAAGTATTCGGAGATCTCATATTCAACGCTGGTGTAGATGAAATTAAACCGTTAGATTCGAAGGGCGCTTGTGATGATTTATGTATTACAATAAATGTCTTTCTGAGTTATATCGTTCACTTGATGGTTGGGTACGTACGAGTATTTTTGCAGACCAGTGTTAGAGGGTCGACAGAGAAGTATATATATATATAACATATACTACAGCTAGAGGACAGAGCAATAAAGCTAATATCACTGACAGAAGGGTCGTGACAATAGAACAAATTTCTTCCCTTACTCTTGTCTACTGCAATAGTCGGCTATTAGGGCGGTGGGTGGCCCACATCGTTTTTATTATTATCACTATCATTATCACGATTGTGTACTCACGTAGTATTTTGGATGACATGGGAGGGTGAATATCTTCGGGGTAGAGGTAACGCGATTTTCGATAGCTATACCACAGAGTGAGCTAATGAGACTTAGTAACGTGACACCTTCGTCACTTTCTATGCGTTTTAACAGGATTTAGTTGATTAACACACAATGGTTTCGACGGCTGAACAAACAATAGGTTTTTATTCAAACACTACCACTTGTTTAAAACGATAAAATATACATGTATTGACAACTTAAGTAAGTTAGACATCATTCATAAGCTACCAGAAAGGAAAACTATATAAAAATGAAAATTTATGTCCCCCTTTTACGTTTAAATTCCAATTATTACTATTCAAATAAATTATATACCAAATATGACATTCAAGTGATAAACTAAGATAGAATACAATTTTATTGTAAATAAATATACAATTTCTAAGCCATTTAAACTAAAACGAATGGAAAATTATATAGAAATTATACAAAAGAAATTTTTATAATTAATATATAAATACAAATTTCCAATTAATGATTAGAATTAGAAGAAGTAATTCATTCGGTTAATTTTGTTATATTATACTATATTTAAAAATAAAGCCAAAAATATTTTCGATTTGTTTCATTAAAAAACTCTTTTTTGTAAACGGGTTTTTATTTCTATGAGTAAAAATTTGATTTAGATAGAAATTATTCTAAAAAAGTTAAATTTAAAATGTATTACTTCAGTATTCTCTACAAAAAAAAAAGTAATAATTATTATCGATACCCTCGATGCTTGTGGAACGACACGTGCTGCTCTCGTGATTGTTAGGCCCGTGAATCATTACTTTAAACGGATTACAAGAGATTCGGTTGCTGGTGTTGCAATGCACTTACTCTAACCGTGGCGTGTATCGAGTCGTTTATCCATTTACCCTGGAGGCCGTGTGCACCAGCCGTCTCTTGTATATTAGATTTAATTCTATACCACATAGGACAATGCGTATTATTAGCGAAGAGGGAGAACTTTTTACACTGATACTCTGATAAGTATCGATGACCGAAATGAATTTCCTGTAAATTCTCAGTGGGACGGGAATTAGCTTGTTGTATACCGAATCTGTTTTCTTTAAGGCTGACGCATTCGTTTTTGAATATTTGACCAAATATTTAAAAATGAATTTAAAAACTCTGTGCATATCGGACGTATTTAGTTTGATACTAAACATAAAATAACTCATTAGTTTATAAATTAGAACGTGTCTTTATGTAACTAAATATAAATCCAGGTCGGAGTCATAAAACACTACAACTAGTGTTTTTACCTCTCGCGTGTTTTTCGCAATCATTTAAAATTTAATCGACGCACTAAAATTACAATATTATAAAGATAGTTTTAACATTATTCCAGCAAAATCGTGGTCTAGTGACGTTATACAGACACAATTATGAATATTATTATTCCTCTCCTAACAGTTTTTGCCCTCACAGGCAAGTCCCCAGTGTGATAAAAGCCCATTAATAATTAACGCCACGATCGGGTCAGAGGTCCCTTGAGATATTTAGTAGAAGCGCACTGTTTCACGCCATTCGGTCGGTATACTATGCATGTGTAGGACCCTCGGTTTTGTTTTTTTTATTTATTATCAATTTTCATCCCTCCAGCTCTTATAACCCTTATAATAACAATAATAATAATAATATTACAACGAATTTTTGCTGCCGAAAGCAAAAAATACCCGTTTAAAAATAACATTTTTTTTTCTTTTACAGCAATTGTTCAAAAATAAAACTACACCGTAAGATACTAAAAAATTTTACTTTTTGTTTCATTTTAAAATCTTTTAGCTAAATTAATAATATCAATTTCGATGTTACAGATATTTACAAGGTATATTTACTATGATGTTAATATAACCTAAACAAATAAGAAATAGATAAATATCCTGTGGCTGAACATTTATTGACATATAATCACTTCATTAAAACAATAAAACTAATTAAAAACGTAAATAACTACAAAGGACCTTAATATAATGGAGGCAATTGAAATATTTAAAAATAAGACCAATTTAATTAATTAGGATCTCGATTCACTGAAAAATTCATTGTTAAACTTGTGTGAACTGGCCAAGTGTAATAACATTACTTAGTGATAATTTCACTCGTTGATAAGGTTACTACGAGTATATAAAGGATTTTTTTTCGTTTGGGGTTTCACTATAAGGCGAGGGCCCTGGAGCGGGACTTTTTGGAGTCCCGGCTAGGGTCCACATTTCGAGTTGAGTCCATGGTGGACCTGAATTTGGTGAACCAGAAGGCGTGGAAGCTCGTCCAGACATTGAAAAAGAAGGAGGAGCGAAACGCCTGAGACAGGCAGTCGCGCCACCTGGCTATGGAGGACCTGAGGTGCTGGTTTAGGCAGGTGCCTTAGGTTCTTGTTTTTGCGTTATCTGTGTTTTATGTTGTGAGTTATTTTGTCAACCCTCCCATACGGTTCCCACTCTGTGATCCGGCTAACAGGGGGGGCATCTCATTGTGATTCAGCTCTTGATTAACTTCGGACTGATTCACAACGCGGTGGTGTGAATTATAGAGACGAAATGGGCCGCCCTAAAGTAATACCTAACGGCAGTTCCAGGGCGGCCTATAACAATGTCGGTCGGAAAAAAAAGGAGAAAAAGGAGAAAAAGGGGGTTTCAATGTGTGTTTAACGTTGATAATGACAACTTTGTTTCCAAAATACATAGCCATGATTTTTTAGTAATTTTTTGTGGCTTTTTGAGCTAAATATTTTTATATTTTTAATACAATTTAATTTTTAAATATTATTAGCCACAAGTGACCAATTTTCATTATATAATAAGATTGGTATTCATAATGGACACTTCAATTACAACCGTTTGTTAACTTCAAAAAGATAATTAAATCTACCGGAAACGAAAAACTTTGAATTGATCATATCAAAAAAACATAGTTATTACGACGCAGAACCACCAAGTAAGACATCGAGATTGAGCGGTTCGACAGATGGGACGATGAAGGCAGCCAATTCCAGTCAAGTGTTATTATTGTTAACACAAGCTATAGGGGGAGAAAATAGGTGGCGTCGGCGGGCACTTTCCAGTTTGTCGACACGAGGGCACGAGTACACAATATAATATATATATATATTATGTTGCGAGAGAGCAAAGCTCGCATGTCGACCCTTGTACTTTTGATCACACCAGTCTGTTATTGTCTTTATTTTTAAAGTAATTTTGTTAGATTTATTTTCTACGAAGCAACAAAGAACTTGCATCCAGTGTCATATTAAAAGGAACATAAAGAGATTCGTTAAACTTGCGATCTTACTGTTCAACGATTTAGACCAAAAAATAGTAGATATAATCTCACTACTAACAAAAGACGCAGAAATGACGGTTGAAGAAAGATTTTATATCCTTAACGAGATTTTCTTGTGTGGAAAAAGAAATAAAAATAGAAATGGAAGATGAGAAAAAAATCTAAAAGCTGTCGGGAAAAAATACTACACGGAGAGGTTAGGAGGCCATGTGTTATATTATCGGTAGTAGTAGTGGGGAGAGGGAATACGCCCTAAAGTACATCACAACAAATTCATACCCTCTACAGTGCTACTACTTGTAATTAGATTAGGCAGGTATATATAGAGAAGTGAAGTGAGACTGTGAACAAGAGAGGTTAAAGTTTGGCAGAAGGTTTACCGTAAAATCAATCTACTCGGCTCCTATATGTTTTTACATGATGTTGTTCAAGCACGAGGGATTATATTAAAGCGGCGTGGTCCACTTGAACGCGAATTCTGCTTGAAAAAATATTATTTCTGTTCGCTCTAAATGGATTCGGACGCCGCCACATTTCTCAAGCACTCAAAATCCACGACCACTCGAGAAGCACTGTTTCTTTAGTTTTATCTAAAACCTAAACTCATCATTGCAATACCACCAATGCGAATAATACAATAACAATTTAAACCACTATCAATTTGTAGGAGGTTTATTTGTTTTGAATCGTAAAAAATTAATACATAGATAAGGGTACTCTTTAAATGTCAAAAATACAAAAAAAAATTGTCAAGGCTTATTGCAATGGTAGCCTAAAAGCGATTAAATAAAAACCGAATACATGACTTGAACCATGCTTTTTTCTTCGTATTTAAAATAAAAAATAATTATAAGCAACAGCTTTTAAATATAGTTAAATTAAAGAAAAAAAAGTGCGAAGAATATCATTTTTTATTTGTTTTTTAATCAGCTAAATTTCTTAAAACATCATGAAGCTTCAAGGGAATTAAAAAAATTCCAAACTGAATACGTCGGTCAAGCAAGGGAGGGTTTTTTTTACCAGAATTACTGGTGATTTGCCCTCTTGTTTAATTTTCTTTATATATTTTTTTTAGTCCCCTAAGAGTGTTTTTTTAATTCTTTAGCTTTTTTCCCTCTTGTTTTTAATTGGATGTGTAAAACGAGAACCTTTGTCACGGTTACGGTAGTTATAACAACATCAGTAGACAAAATTGGAAAAAGAAAACGTGTACATATTCTTGCTTGTATTTAATTTAAGTAAATAACTTTGGTTCTTAATATACAAAACTTTTTCCTTTTTTCTGTTCCCATTAAACATTATTTCAGACTATCTTACTGTTCCCCTTACATCGACAATAAATAACAATAATTTAGTCAGGTTATCGAAAGTAATTAATGTTGCAATTCATCTTTTATAAGACTCTTAATTATTTCCTTTAAATAATAAAAATTTATCACTTGTGGCTAATATTATTTAAAATTAAAACAATATTATAAATATTATTAATTTAAAACTAAAAAATATTAATCTCAAAAATCCACAAACAAATTACCAAAAAATCACATACCACACATATATTTGCTTATTTTAAATATTCTAGTTTTAGATGTTTTAAAAGTTTTGTATTATAGTCACATTATTAGTTAGTTTTGGAAACAAATAATTTTATATTTGTATGTTTTAAAAACTCTAACTATTATTAGATCATTTTCTCTTTAATAATTATTAAACAGTAAATTACGATTAATTTCTCGATGAAGTGAAGCTGGAATTCATGACAATTAATAGCGCACGCGAATCGTTTCACAAGACTTATGCGGTGCCAGACGTCTGCCGTTTTGTTAAGCGATTAATCAGTAAATAGGCGTAAACCCTACAAACCAGCAGGTTTTGTAAAGATGGGTAGGAGCTGTTTTATACGATATAAAACAGAGAAGTACCAGCAGAGAGTTTTCCTCCCAATATCACCTCTTCTTTCCCTCAAGCGTCTCGTTGCCATTACCTAATTGTTTCCAATTTAAAACTACTCTCCCTCTCTTCATGAGTTTGACTCCCCGGGAACAACTAAAGGCTTCGTCTCAAAGAGATCCAAGTGGGAGGATTATGGGCGAGATAACACGTGTTTGGAGTAAGAAAGGAATTATGCGGCTGATTTAATTGACTCGTTTTAATAGCTGTCAAAGGAAAAGGATCAGTTGACGGCTCTTTACGTCACCCGTCCAGAAAATTAGTTACCAAAAGTTATACGACATCAAAACACACCCTAAGTTAATCATTTTTCGATAGTAAGTTCATTAATCTGTCATCTGTTTTCGACTGCTTAAGTTTTAACAGCATTACTTTCATTATATTGCTTTCTTTAATGAACTAAAAATAACTACTCACCTGTATGAATATACGTGTGTTTTTTCATATCTGACTTTTGATGGAAACGTTTTCCACAAAACTGACACGGATAAGGTCTTGTATCTGAATGAATCAATAAATGTGTAGACAACGTAGATGATCTTTTAAATGTTTTACCACACTGTTTACACTCGAATAGCTTTTCTACATTGTGAGCGGATCGTCTACAACACAACCACCTATAAATAGACCCAGATAATTAATATAAATTAATTTTATTCATGAAAAAAGAAAGAAATATTTTGATGTAGTTCTTTTGTGAGCAATGTAGGTTAATTTGAATAGTTTATTCGATGTGTTAAGTTTTTACTTAATCAAATATTTTATAAACTAACCGGTGTTGATTGAGGCTGATCTCGGCACCAAACGACTTATTGCAAAGTTCGCAAGAAAAAGGTCTTTTACCATTATGAGATCTCCGAGAATGCACTTCCAAACCATGTGATGTAGGAAACATCTTATCACATTTGATACATGAGTAAACATCACCAAATACAGTTCCTCTCATTAGCATGTGATGGTGTCTGAGATGCCCATCTGAAGCCACTGATGAAGGTGGTGGTGGCATAGCGGCTAAAGGTTGATTGCTACTAGGTGTCATAAACTGTTGTCGGAGCTTAATCATATCTTCAGTAGAATTAGTCGATAATTGTTGACTGAATGGATTAACAGCCGCTGAACTCATTCCTAGGGTAAGATTTATGCTTTATGTGAGAAAATTGTAATAATAATTGATTATATCATGTATTTTAAATAGATATATAAATAATGTTATTATATTTTCTGAGCAATTACATACAGATGCAATATTTGACATTGAAAAAATCCGTAAGATTTTTCTTTAGGTGGATAAATTATTTGATGCGAGCAATTAATTAATGAATATTTTTATTTTATACATATATACTACTTCCTATATAATTATTATCATGAATATATTTTAGGGGAGACTTAAAACGAGCTGGACTCTCCCCTCAAAAGTCATGCGGTGCGACTAAAATTTAGACCAAAAATGTTACTTTTATAAGAATTTGTACAAAAAGAAAATTTTTAAAACATTAAAAAATAAGTTATTTTAAACCATATATACCTGTATTAGACAAGGGATGGGCAAAAGCGGCTGCAGCTGCCGCTCTGACAGCACCTAAGCTCAAATATAATGAACTAGTCAATAAATCATGATTGTTGTCAGGATGTGTATCGCTGCCATTTTGATCTGGTGATATTGATTGGTTCAGCATATTAGTAGCGGCCGAATAAAATTGTGAGTGAAAGCCAAAGCCTGAGAAATGTTTTTGAAGAAGCGAACTTGCTGCTGGATGTAGATGGACTCCATCTTTACGAGTATCTTCAATCAAATCTGGAAACTGGACAGCAGTAGGGTAGTGTTGCTGTAAAAAAGACCTAGTCACTGAAATTGTGTCCACCATACTGGTTGGTTGACGGGTAATTCGGTCGTTATTGTGACCATATAGGTGTCGTGACCGTGGTGCATCTGGTTTAAGTAATGCGCTTACACTAAAAGCTTCAGAATTTTTGGCTACTGTTGGTTTTATTGTGGTACTGGTCATCATGACATCAGTACTTGGAATTGGAGATGGTGTTCTCTTAGAAACGACATCGATATCAGGTGATGCCGATCTACTCTCAACATCCAACAATTCAGATGACGAGGATAAAGATGGTGAACTTCTTTGAGGTGACCATATTTTTGTTATCGAACATCGACTGGTCACTTTTGCAGTAGTTGTACCAAAAGCATTTTCGTCATTATCTCTAACATCGACTATCGGATCAGGACGATTTAAACTTTTTATGATATCATTGTTGTTATTATTTAATATATTTACGCGAGAACGATCATACGTTTGACCTTCATCATTTTTTTCGACGAGTCGACTGATACCAAACTTAATACAATCTAAAAACAAAAAAAATATATATATATATATAAATTAATCGAAGTTAACTATTCAAATTTAAAAATTGATTTCTACTTTTCATTATTTTAGACGACTTATTTAATTGTTAAACTATCTTTAATATTTATTTCACGGAAAACCAAATAATAATATTAAATTTATTTAATAAAGCTTAATTTTTGTATTCTTTTTTAACGTTTTACACATTGCTAATCATATAAAACGAATGTTCAATATGTAAAATTCAAACTTTAAGATTTTATTAATTAATAATAAACAAATAATTAATATTTAGTTAATTCCAATTACTTGTGTATGATATTAACATAGTTTGTGTTATTTCATTTTTGTTTGCATACGCAAACTTAAATAGTATACAGAAAATTGTCTAAAAATGTTAAATTTACAGAATAATGTTACAATAATGATAACAAAAAATGATGTCACAAAACAAAATATACTTTAACGGTAATTAAAAAAAAATTCTGACAAAGTTTTTATAGTATTGAACCACGAAGTAACATAAATTTTAAGGTATAATCCCCTACAATACACATGACACGCACTCTCATTCTAGCAAACATAGGTACAAAATGAAAAATGTCATAATATTTATTGATTTCTTGCCGATCGCAATGGCTGTTTTATTGTAATCGTTTGACAACAGAGACCACAACGTATATAGTGCTGGTAGCTAAGTGGCCAATTCCGTGTTTTACGATTAGGACACGAGGCAATCATTGTTAGCGTTTCCTTCCAGGGGTGTGCCAATATTGACATTAAGGCGGTGGAATCGAATATTTTCAAACGGTTGGGTATGAAGAGCAAGAGGTTGTATGGGATTAACACACATGAATAATATTTTGTCGCGTGTGACTACACGGTGGCCGTCACGTTGGCTGAGCAAACAATGTATTGAACCAAGTGCAAACAAACCATCAATAATTTTTATCAGTCACAATGACGACGTCGTTGTATCATAAATTATAACTTTCGGTTTGTATTGCACACTCGTATATTATTTCACCTGAATCGTATCCAATAAATATTAAGTACAATTTATCGTTGACTGAATTAATCGATCGGAAAGGGTTGAATACAATAGAAGTTTACTTTAATCATTCGCGTTTTATATACGAATTGTTACATGTATCAATAATATATTATAATAAATAAATACCCAGTTTTACTTTTATTCGTATTAATACTTTAGTGAGTTCATTAATAATATAAAATAAAACACTTGTATATTTTATAATTCAAAAAGTTTTTCAACAAGTTCGAGGCTACCATAAAATGATGAACGATTCTATAAGTATATATTACAAGGTCATTTTTTTAAAATTATCGTAAAATAATAATCGTTAAAAAAAAATTATTTTACGTAATATTTAATTTCATATATACTTCGATTATCAGTTGATAATTATTTTTTTAGTTCATCTCTTACACTTTATAAGGGTGTCAATTTTACTTTTTAAAAGGCAACTTACATATTTAACTAGATTATTACATAACAAATAATCTAATTAAAGAAATGACTAGTCGATAACAACTTTTGACCCAATATTTAATAATTTATTATCATTTTTAAATATAGACCAGAAATGAGGCGCAGGTAAGACAATATTTATCATTAGACATTTTTCGGCTCACTTTTCCTCCCACCCAGTTATACAAATCTTAATAGCTTCCTAAATATTAGTAAAAAAGTTGTAATAATTTTTCTTAATAGATCATTTTTTATTTTATAAGCTAGTTAAATATGAATGTTGTCATTAAAAATAAATGGACACTCTTATGAGGTATAAGGGACGAATCATTGATAAATTTTGAATAAAATGAAACTAAAAAATAATTTTCTTATTATAATTATTATTTTAAAAGAAATAGTGTGGCTAGGATTAAAAGATTCATTCTGTATGTATTTTTAATGCATTATTTGATGGAATTTACGTATTTTTATGCATTTATTTTAAATAAATTTTATTTTAATCAATAAAATTTAAATAATTTTATATTATCACACAGTTGTTCAATGATTTTGTATTTATATAGTAAAATTGATGGCACTGATTGATATTATTCTAACGTATTAGATTGACCAATAATTAAACCATTAGCCATTATTCATCACTTTTGTTTAAAAAGTCATTCCAAATTCATATCCATCACATTTCACTAACTACACTAAACACTCCTTTGTCGTATTTATCGTCGAATTTTACAGTTAAGGTACACAAGCTATATAACCTATCGAGTCATTAAAACGTTATCGGTATAAAATAAAAATAGTACATAATGACACTTTAAGCTTAAAACGAACCACAGCGGTTTAGACTCACCCTGTATTTGTTCTGAGCGGCGGCTTTGACGTTTTTGGTTTATTTACACATAATAAATCTTTTTTAAAAAACCCGTGTAACACAATGTACCCACGACAGTTAATAGATATTTTTTAATCTGTTATCGGCGTATGATAAGCCACGTCGAGTACCGTGTTCCTCTATGTTAATTGCTTACAAACTCATTGGCGATTAATGTCAGATAATATTGGTCGTCACGCCGTCAACTAATGGCCCAGTCGGCTACAACTCTTGCACTTTCAGTACTGTCGCGGTCCTTTACGTTTAGTCCATTGACCCGACGACAGCTCAATAAAATGACCCTCAATCGCGCCAAGAAGAAATCGATGTCATAATTACAAACAAATGGACGAAACACAATACGCTATATTAGTTGATACGGCAGGGCTATTATCATAGTATTTCACGCTGCCGCGATTATAATAGACTGCGTGAATAATCTTGGTCGTAGGCAATTTGTCGGCGAGTCATATATGTGCACAAGGGGAGTGATCCCGAAAAGAAAAACATCTGTTTCGAAAATCGCAAGGCCCCGCAGTACCCTCCGCCGGACCGTAACAACATACAAAGGCCACGGGGGCGTTTTGTTGTAACGAATCCAAAAAGGGTAACGACGACACACAGCACATACGGCCGGGGCGTTTAACCCCAGCGGCGAAAAGTAATGATCTAGAAAGCCTTTAAACAAATTCTATTTCTCCGGTTTATTATTATTATTATTTCTTTCCCTCCAGTAGGCCGGTCGTTTAACGATTATTTAAATGTCTTTGGATCATAATAATAACACCCTTTTTGCCCAAAACATCAAACGGTACCCCCTACCGCAGAAGAGGGACGCTCCATATAACGTTAATATGTACTGTACCCTATCTTCAGTGCTGAGCAGAAGCTTTTAATTTTCATCACACATAATCTTCTGAGCCACAATAATTGAAATTCCATTGTGATACATCCCTCTCGGCCATCCCATATAATAATATGTGATGTTATCATTTATACACTATTCGAGCCTATCTCTAGTATAAAACAATTTTATTTACCGATTTCTAAAAGTATCACACGGCTTTTTATAATGGCCACTGGTTTGTTGCTCAGAAATTTTGATTTCTCTGCACTCCTCTGAGCGTAATAGTCTTACTGAAACGTCTGATTTAATTAGTTTCAATCTGAGAATCATAATTTATACATGCTTTTCCACGGCAGGAGGCAAGAACGGTGGCGGATGTCTGCTTATTAAATATGCAAAGGAGTCATTCTCCGTACTGCTCGAATTTAGAAGTATATAAGGCAAAGTCGTTGGCAGAATCTGGGCATTGCTCACGGTACATGGAAGTTAAAAATGGCGGATAGTAATTACACCACTCTACCGAAATATAAATGAACTTGCCCGGCCTTCAGTCGACCATCGTTTAATTACAAATACCGTCCGTGGTTCGACTCTCACTATACCCCGGAATGTCATTACCACGAGATTCCACTTGACTCCCCTCTTACCTAAAGCGTCGACAGCAAATCGTTTTTATTTCCTACTCTTCTACGGGCACATACTTTCAAAGATAAAAATGCGGATTCAAAGATCTCTGAGCACTCCGAAAAGAAAACGTATAATTTATACGTTTTCTCAATTATTTAGTATAGTTGAGAATACTAAAAAAACATGGTAACAATAACTTATCAACCAATGAGTGCAAAAAGTGCAACGTGATTAATTTATTTTTAAATTAGTAGTACTTTTGTTCTAATTTCATTCAAAGCGTCTAGGGTGACAATGATTTGACACATAATTTAATTAATTGTTATTAAATTATTTAAGCAGTAAGCAAATTTTTAAGTTAAATTAAATGTTGATTATAATAACTCTGAATTCTATAAAACGGACCTATCATGAAACATAATTTATAGTATTTCGAAGTCATTAAAATATACGATTTTTTTAAGTACGAGACTGATTGTTTTATCTGTGTAATGACATGGTTTAGGATTTGTTATTATCTCTGTGTTATTTATGTTTGACAAATATATACGTATATACACACGGCATAGGTGTCATAAAATCCCGAAAGAATGAAATCGAAGATCATTCAACTAACGCTATGGCTTTGGATAGATAACGTCAAAGCAATAACATGTCATCGATGATAGCCGAATCTAGTACACATACCTCGGCTACCCATAAAGAACATTTTACAAGCCCATCGCGCTATTCTCGAGATTCTCTTTGACTTTAGTTGTACACCGGTGACTTTTTTAACCCACTTTAAGATATATTCATTAATATCCACAGAATCTATCAAAAGTGAGAATACACTTTCATAGCCAAATATTAGCTAATCGTTGGTCTGTTTGCATGATTGCGCTGTACGAACCCAGGTGCATCTTCGATATCACAGAAAGCTATTAAAACCCGGATGACTATAATAATAGTAATATAATCACAACAAAAGCTAGTTGTGATAATATGATAATATTATATCAGCAACAGTTTAGACGAGCGTAGGGTTTGCAAGTAAACTGGATGAGCAATTACGTCGAATAGCTTTTGCTCTCTCATCACAAATACACACACACATACACACACACTCGCGTTAATAACAAGGATAAGTGAAGGCGAACTAAAGAAGAGTTTATAATAC